GAGTCAATAAAACTACTGTTCGTCATACTTCATGTGTGCCTGTAGGGGGAAGCAGAGCTAAACAACTGTGTGTTGTGGAATTTAGATGAAATCAACTCATTAAATACACGTTAGACTCATTTCTTTGAGTTCTTCTGAAGAATAAGAGCGATTCCAAGAACATTCATGGCATGTTTTGCTCATGCAAGGAGATAAAAGAGGAGATCGAAATCACAACAGATAACTAATCAGTTAGTTTCCTGTTCTATGTAGCTTGATTTTCAGTGTTTCTCAGTAGATCCAATGTGGTGTGATAACAGTTAATTATGAATAGAGTCCAAATACAGAGTCGTTTTTACTGCTGTGTAGCATCTTTTTGGAAGAGGCATGTGTCTCATTCTTGTCTGACATGATACCCTAGCTGCTCAGTCTTGATCCTAATATTTTTCACATAATCGTGAAATGTCTCAGTTTAGACATCTGATATGTTTTCTATTCTTTGTATAATCAGTGTTTGTGAGATTTGGAAATGGTTGCATTCTGTTTTTATTTACATTTTACGCAGCATCCCAACATTTTTTGCAGCTGGGGTTGTATGGCATGGCTATAATAAATGCTCATAGTTGTGCAAAAGCTCACCAATTTGCAAAAGTGAAAGATTTAGGTTTATGACAAAGAGGGTAACGGGACACGTCTATATCCTGCAGCTGTTCAAAAGTAAACTGCCATTCAGTTACATACAAACAATCAAGTTTCACTATTATGTTTCTGAGCTTAATATGAACCCACAGAACAAGGCACAGTTTCAATGCTAGGTTTCCTTTCCTTAACATGAATTAAATTTAACAGCAATTTTTGACACATTTCTAGAGCTCATCCACTATAAACTCACACCTGCCTCGCCTCCCCTCTCCTGTGTGTGTGTGTGTGTGTGTGTGTGTGTGTGTGTGTGTGTGTGTGTGTGTCCCCTTTCTGGTGGCAGACTAGCAGACAGCACATATCAGACTGAGTGTGTAGTGTACTGACCTGAACGTCCGCACCAGGTTGTTCAGGTCGGTAGTGATGTCAATCATGGTGAGATGCAGTGGACCTACAATGTTTCTGAGGCTGCACAGCACAACCACAAGACAAGAGAGCAAAGAATTAAGATGAACTGATCATGAAAATCATGATTATGTGCAGCCATGTCAAACTGTGCAGCAGTGAGGTTCACGGGACCTTCACAGCTGTTGAAGAAAAACCAGGAAAAGAAATTAATAAAGCTCCGTGTGCCACATCCAAGAAATAAAGGACAAACACGCACCAGCTGGAGAGTTTCTCCACTGTGATTCGTTTCTGGATGAGGTTCTGAGCATGAGAGTCAACGAGCGGCAGGACCGGATCCTTGATGCTTTCCTGGACTGTCACCTGGTGTGGGGACGGTTTAAGAACAAAACTCACTCTGTGAGCTCACCTAATTTAAACTCAAACTCTTAAAGCAAGTCTTTTAATATGCACTTACCTGCTTTCTATTGGGCTCCTCTTTCTCGTCAGGCAGAATCCACGTGCCCTTATAAAATTCCCTGACCCGGAGCTCTAGATCCTGGGTCTCCCTCCGCAGCGTGTCATAGTTTGGAGCTGCAGCTGACGGCCTCTTCTTGTCCTCGCTGTTGTCGGCTGTCACCTCATCCTCAAGGTCATCTTCATCCAACTCCTCTTTGCCTTCTTCTTCTCTTACCTCGGCATAGGGAGAACCAAGGGAGTGATCGGAGCCGTACAGGAACGTTAACGTCTCATCGGTACACCACTCCTTCAATGTGTTTTTTAGGCAATCGAGCAGATTCATCCGTACAGAGTCAGGTTTGACTTCGGCGTGGTTCTTCAGTAGACCTCGCAGCCCAGCTGCCCCCCTCTTGCTCATACCCACCTGCGTGATGTTGAGCTCTTGCTGGCCGTGGCTGTTCTGATTAGTGGCAGGAATTTGTTTACTTTCTGTTGGAGGGTTTGAGCGAGGAACACTGTGAGTTACCGTCTCCGATAAACTGCACACGCTCATCTCAGCTGTAGTCTCTTCCACACCAGAAAGCTCAGACAACTCTCTCTCTTGTGATGCCGCCTGGTCCGTATGTGTCACCTGCCGCTCTTTGGGTTTTTCAGCATCGGTAACTTCAGTTTTACGCACGTCTGCCTCTTTTCTTTCCTCATCTTCTATCATACTTCTCTGTTCCTCTGTATTCTGACTCTGAGGAGGTTCGATCTTTTCTTCATTCCCCTCTTTGGTGTTTATCTTTCTTGTTTCAGAATTCCTTTGTTGTCCTTTCTCATTCTCATCTGAGCATTTAGGCAGGTCACCCCAGTGGACCCGGGGTCTCTGCTGCTGAGAGACCACGCTGGAGACAAAGTCCTGCTCATGTTCGTCGTCACTGACATCACTGTGGCTGCCTCCAGCAGGATGATCCCGAGAGCCGTGAAGCTCCTTGTGCTGAGCAGCCACAGGGTTCTCGACGTCCTCCTCTTTTAGACACCTCTCAGACAGCATCACCTCCTCACCAGAGCTCCCACTGAATGCACACATGTAACCCTGGATCAGTCTTTCTATTTATAAGGCTAAATATGGAAAACTAAACACGAAACTTATTACGTACCGTTCTCCTTGCTTCAACAACTTAATTTCAGGAGGACTGAGAGAGAGAAAGGGAGCAAAGACATTATACAGAACATCACTGCATTCAACGATTAGATCAATCAGGTGATTTAGGACAGAGATGAGAAGCAGCACACACACACCTCTCATGTTGCCCAACCCAAAGAGGCGTCTTTGGTATTTGTAGCTCAAACGCTTTGGAGGCTTTGTAGCAGAAATTACTGCAAAAACACTAAAGACAAAAGAAGCAAAGACCAAAATGTGTCTTTAAGCGCATTCTGGCAAGTGTAAGAAACAAACAAAAAAAACCTATTTCATGTAGAAACACTCACCTTGCGCTCTGTGATGTCATACACTTTATTGGTCTTAGTAGAAATTTTGTATTGTTGAGATGGGATCTAGAAAGTGAACAGCACCACAGACTCAGTCATCACATATGAGACATGGAGATGTTTATTATTTGCAAACAAAATGCAATATCAGTGGCCTTACCTTGCCCAGTTTATTAGGACAGATGGGATAACCGCACAGCTTAGCAATAGACCTCTCCTCTACAGTATCTCTGTAATTAGCTGGGGTGATCATTTTGGCCTGTGAAGTAAAGAGAACTCGGTTACTTTGCAGCTTTTCTCTGGTTTCAATTTGTGTAAAATTAATATTGCTTGACATTTTAAATTATCTGAATATTGACAGAAAACCTGCATGTAATCTAAAGTCTGTCATCAGAAATGGAAAAAAAAAGTGTGTGTTTACACAGCGTATCTCAGCTGCCATAGGGTGAGAGGCAGAGTCCACCCTAGACTGGTTGCCAGTCCATCACAAAGCTAACACACAGATACAGGCAACCATTCACAGCTCCGACCAGCTAACCAATTATGGATGCATTTGGTCTGTGACAGGAAGCCTGAGTATCTGGAGGGAATCCACACAGACACAGGGGGAACAAACTCCACACAGAAAGGCACTACAGAATGAGATTATGGGTTAGCGAGTTATGTCGAACTTGAAGTCAGAATTTTCTGTGCCACAAAAGTGTCTCTCTTTTCACCTGGCTACATCACCATGGTAACTAATGCCGGATACATTACGTTGTTTATTTTATCCTTCTAAGCACTAGATGCCATGATTGACATTTTTCCACAGCATTAATATCTTGCGTTGTCTGTAACAGTTTTGCATTTTATTGTAATATTTTTGCTGTTCGTTAGAGACTTTTGACAGCATTTTATCCTTATCACCTTATAGAGTCTGATTAGACAGCATTCACAGGGATCATTCTGTGTGGAAGAAGAGTAGAATATGACATCCCGTAACAACAAGCCTAGTTAAAGAAAGGTGATAACCATCATAATGATGTCCATTATCTCCGACTGGGGTTTTAAGCTTTGTCAACAGCTAACGCAAACAAAGCCTGGCTGTAGTGAACTTAGCATACTCCTCAGGTCCTTGTTGCTGTGAGGCAATGGCACTGCTACCAGTGAGGCGGTGTATTCAAATTCCTAACAAGTCTAAATAGCATGCTAGAGCCAGGCTGCGTTATACTGGGCCAATAGCAAAACCTCAATCATAGGGATGTCATGGCAATTATAAACCCTGGAAACTGCAGATTGGGCCATGTTCTGAGACTGTGAGATTCTAATTAATCGTGGCAGACATGGTGTGTGAATAAAAGAGACGGGTTTAGTATGACAGAGGCTTGGCAGTGATGTAAGGGTAACAGGACCTGTGCGTGAGAGCAGTGAGGAAAGACTTCGTCTCCTGGTTTGCCTAAAGCTTGTGCCCTGTCTAAAGTCACCGGTGACACATACACAGTCCACTAGGAAGTCCTCAGCCACACTGTCGTCCAGGAGCCGCTCCACCACCTTCAAAGCTCTCTTCTCCAGCTCCAACTTCTCCCTCAGCTTCTCCTTCAGCTCCTCTCTCCTGACACAAAGCACACACGTGAAGAAGTGTCTGTGTTTACTCCACAACCAACAAATGTTTGGTAATGATTACTGGTGCAGCTGAAGCGTCCAGTAGAGATGTCCTGGTGGAGTAGGGGTTTCTCACCTTCTCGCTTCTTCCTCCGCGGCGAGTGCTTTGACACGTTTCCCACCTGCCTCACAAACAACAAAAAAAATTGAATATACGAGTTAAACGAATCTCTGAAGGAAGAGATGTCGTTACTCTACCAACCAACCAACGGCTACACAAGCCAGCTGTGAGCGCTCTGAGATCCGTGTAACCCTCCACAACGCTGTAAACACCTCTCTAAAACCCGAGAAACAAAAAACAGGCTTTTAACGAACCCTTTTTGGAGCTCCCGCTCCTTCTTCTCTCATCCATCTCCATGCTGTTTCTGTTTTCTACACTTTCAACTTTGACCTGTGACGTATCTCCATCTACGGCAAGCCAGGGGGACAACTTCACGTTCGCGCGGTGCGTCCGTAGCGTGTAGTGTGTGTGCTTTTTTTTTTCTTCACCGGGCTGTTTGTGGAAGTTGAGCTGAGGTACGTGTCCCCTTCACCTCGGTCCCGTTTGCGTCCACACCAACGGCTCTTTTCGTGGCGGTGAATTTGTTTGGCTAACCACTGTTCGGCTAATTCGGAGCGGGGTTAGCATCCCTGCTGCTCTGCTGTGTTTACAGGCACAGAACTTAACCTCTGACACCTTTGGACCTGTTTTTTTTTTTATATACTTGAAGTTTCCCCTGTTTTTGAGGACTTCTGCATGAGGACAACACCCGTATGAAGACAGCAGGGATGGCTCTGGAGCAGCTCAGTGAGGTGGTCCAAAGATGTGTAAGTATTCAGTGGTACTTGTAACCCACATCCACTCCTTCATTCTGATATCAATTCCCTAAACAGCATGTCGGCACAGCCACTGGCACCAACCTGGATGCTGGTACCCACAGACAGTGTTGCCAACTCCTCAGTAAGGAAAATCGCTATTGGCTGTCCTAAAAGTCGCTAGAAGTCGCTAAATGACGTCATCGCCTAATTTGCATAATTGGTCATGCTAATCTAATTGTAACCTATGTTGTTGGAGAGAGAAATAACATCGTGGAAGAGACATAAAGTGAGGAAAAAACGTCCTAAATGCATTTAGAGTTTATTTAGAACTACAAATTAGATTTCTTTTAGCAATTATTGTTTTTTTTAATGTCACAATTCCAACCCTGCTTCTTTACCCGGGCTTGGACCGGCAAGTGACCCGAAATAGGCACTCTGGCGGAGTTACTTTGTGTGTGTGTGTTTATAAGTAGTTTTAAACCTTGTGATCCACAAAACGGCATAAGAGTAAAAGAAGAACTGACTGCGTTACAGCACCCGCTGCTTGTTGAGAGTAAAAGAGATACGCGCTTTCACGTCTTTTTTTAGCGACTTTTTTTTTTTTTAGAAAAAAAGTCGCTATGGGGTCTGAAAACTCGCTAAATAGAGCGACAAAGTCGCTAAGTTGGCAACACTGCCCACAAACTGAGCTGACCTGGGTTTTGAGTCTCTCACTAGAGCATATTCTAGATCAGAGGTATTTAATTAAAATATAAGGAGGTCCAATTTGAGAACATTTCCAAGTCCAAAATATAATCAAGTTCCACATGATTATAAGTGCAGTCTATTTTAAAGTAGCCTAACAGTTATACAGTGTCAGTATATGGGCAATAACTGGTTGTAATGTAAAGCAAAGAAAGTGTAATTCGGTATTTCAACAATATTTATTATTCATTACTCTAATGAAAAGAAAATGTTCTTTTTTGGTTTCAAGTAAAATTATAGCTTTTGAAAAAGTTGTCTTCAAATAAAGTGCTTAATTTAAAATAATGAAAAGTTGTATTTTGAATTTCCCCTCTTTGTCTTTTTTCTAAATTACATTTCACATGTAAACCATCTCACTTTAAACCCTCCTTTTCTCCCTGACTTAATTCCTTTGGCTTCTGCCTCTCGTCTCTTCTCCGAGTTGTCTACTTTTACACGTGCTCTGAGTAAAGGATTTGATTGCCTGAGTAGAGTTACGTTGAGTGAGTTAAGCACGCCATTGGTCTATGTACTTCCATTCAATGGCTTTGCTGTCTATGTACACTGCTGCCATACAGCAGCAGTGTATAAATGCTCAGTTAGTGAAGACGGGAATAGAGGAGAAATCTTCAGTGGATCATGGGAAGTCCCTCAGCAGCCTGAGGTAGCAGCAAAACTAAGGGATGGTTCAGGGTCACCTGATCTAACTGTAAACTTGATCAAAAAGCCTAATCTTAAAAACAGAGGGGGCGACTGTGTTCTGAACCCAAACCAGAGTGTAATATGCCAGGATTGTGTCTTTGAGATATTTGATAGAATATAATATTTAATAAGTAACTGTTTAAAATGTCTGTTTTCTCTATTTTTACCCACTTGTTTGTCTCTTTTTCATGCAGCAGGCTCTTCCAGACGACAGCTACACCACCGAGGATCACAACATCTTCACGGTTGCTGGGCAGACTTGTATCGAGGAGGGAAACAGCGCGCAGGTCCTCAGTATTGTGCTGGATGAAAAGAATCAGGTAACGTTTCTCAAAGTTGACACCAATCGCTGCTTCTCAGGTTTGTCACACACTCATCTGTGTAACTGTCTTCATCTGTGCAGGAGATTGTGAGATGCATGGGTTGGAACCTGCTGCCTCCGCTGATCCAGGTCCTGCTGAAGAAAGAAGACAAGAATCTTCCTCAGTGTCTGGCCATTTTTAACCACCTGCTGGAGGTCAGTGGTCAGGAGTGGACTTAAGATAAAACATCACTGATGAAAACTGGATGAATGTGGCATTGTAAGGGTGATCTTTGTGGTTGTTTTTGCAGACGTGCAGACCGAAAGAGCTGCTGATCGGCCTGTTGGAGCAGCTGGAGCAGGATGATCCTGATACAATAGCAGAGAGCCTCCATCTGCTCTTGAAGCCTTTACAGAAAGGTAAAGAATCTTTTTAGTCATCATGCTACTCTTCTTACTGGTTTTCTTCTTGTCTTACATACAGTCAGCTCCATAAATATTGGGACATCGACACAATTCTAACATTTTTGGCTCTATACACCACCACTATGGATTCCAAATGAAACGAATAAGATGTGCTTTAACTGCAGACTGTCAGCTCTCATTTGAGGGTATTTACATCCAAATCAGGTGAACAGTGTAGGAATTACGACAGTTTGCATAAGTGCCTCCCACTTGTTAAGGGACCAAAAGTAATGGGACAATTGGCTTCTCAGCTGTTCCATGGCCAGGTGTGTGTTATTCCCTCATTATCCCAATTACAATGAGCAGATAAAAGCTCCAGAGTTCATTTCAAGTGTGCTATTTGCCTTTGCAACCTGTTGCTGTCAACTGCCAAGAAGAGATCCAAAGAGCTGTCGCTATCAGTGAAGCAAGCCATCATTAGGCTGGAAAAAACAAAACAAACCCATCGGAGAGATAGCAAAAACATTAGGCGTGGCCAAAACAACTGTTTGGAACATTCTCAAAAAGAAGGAATGCACCGGTGAGCTCAGCAACACCAAAAGACCCGGTGTTCTGGGAATCCATCCTACCTACAAACCATCCTACCCGTTGTTTTTGCGCATGCGCACAACACGAAATGAAGTGCCAAACCATCCTACCTTTTTGAATGTGACCTACAAGCATACTTTAACAGCTAAAATTTAGTGGCAAATTGTCCTACCTTTGTTAATCTGAGCTAGAAGCATACTTTAACAGCTAAAATGAAGTGGCAAATCATTTTTCCTTTGTTAATAAGAGCTAGAGGCATACTCTGACAGGTAAAATGAAGTGGCAAGCCGTCCTGGCTTTATAATTATGAGCTAGAAACATACTCTGATGGGCAAAGGTAAGTGGCAAACCGTCATACCCACTTAAATTTGTGCTGGAATTACTCTGTGACAGCAGAAATGTGGATAAACTACTTACGGTAGGACGTTTTGCCAAAGTAGGATGCTTTGTCAGAACACCGGAAGACGGAAAACAACTATAGTGGATGACCGAAGGATCCTTTCCCTGGTGAAGAAAACACCCTTCACAACAGTTGGCCAGATCAAGAACACTCTCAAAGTCAAAAATCAATAGAAGACTCCACCAGTGTGAATACAGAGGGTTCACCGCAAGATGTAAACCATTGGTGAGCCCCAAAAACGGGAAGGCCAGATTAGAGTTTGCCAAACGACATCTAAAAAAAAGCCTTCACACTTCTGGAACAACATCCTATGGATAGATGAGACCGAGATCAATTTGTACCAGAGTTATGGGAAGAGAGGAGTATGGAGAAGGAAAGGAAGTGCTCATGATCCTAAGCATACCACCTCATCTGTGAAGCATGGTGCTGCAAGTGTCATGGCATGGGCATGTATGGCTGCCAGTGGAGCTGGTTCTCTTGTATTTATTGATGATGTGACTGCTGACAAAAGCAGTACAATGAATTCTGAAGTGTTTCGGGCAGTATTATCTGCTCATATATTCACCCAAGTGATTCAGAACTCATTAGACGGCGCTTCACAGTGCAGATGGACAATGACCCAAAGCATACTGCAAAAGCAGAGTTTTTTGAAGGGAAAGAAGTGGACTGTTTTGCAATGGCCAAGTCAATCACCTGACCTGAATCCGACTGAGCATGCATTTCACTTGCCGAAGACAAAACTGAAGGGAAAATGCCCCAAGAACAAGCAGGAACTGAAGACGGTTGCATTAGAGGCCTGGCAGAGCATCACCAGGGATGAAACCCAGCGTCTGGTGATGTCTATGTGTTCCAGACTTCAGGCTGTGATTGACTGCAAAGGATTTGCAACCAAGTATTAAAAAGTGAAAGTTTGATTTATGGTTCTTATCCTGTCCCCTTACTTTTAGTCCGTTAACAAGTGGGAGGCACTTATGCAAACTGTTGTAATTTCTACACCGTTCACCTGATTTGGATGTAAATACCCTCAAATAAAAGCTGACAGTCTGCAGTTAAAGCACATCTTGTTTGTTTCATTTGGAATCCATTATGGTGGTGTATAGAGCCAAAAATGTTAGAATTGTGTCGATGTCCCAATATTTATGGAGCTGACTGTATATGTTGCATATTGCTGTTTGGGTGCTTTTTCTTGCTATTATTATTGTGATGTATTCTCTTTTTCTCGCTTCGAACAGTGCTCGTGCGCCTGGGCGGCCGTAAGGCGTCATCCTTGGGCATGGCGCTGTCGTCCGTGCTGGACCAGGTGGCCAAACTGCCTCTCCCTCACACCAAGGAGCAAGAGGAGGATGACGTCTTTTCGTTTTGCCGGTGCTGCACTGACATGATAGATTTCGTCAGACCTTTTGTTCAAGAAGTCAGGCATAACCTGCTGAATAATGTGATGCAGAGCGAGACTGCAAACAGGACCGTGGGCAGACAGGGGAAGGATAAAGAGGATGAGCTGCGGACAGAACTTCTGAAGTTGTGAGTGAAAAAAAATGCGTTTTCCAGCTCAGACTCACGTTTGATAGTCCGACATAATGTCATAGAAAAGCGCTGCAGGGCTCTTGAAAACTGATGATGCTGAGGCTTCCTTTTTGTTTGTCTCCTCTTGAGCTGTATGAAGAGTCTGAGTCATCCTCTGTTGGAAGTACACCTCAAGGATCCTGACACGCTGGCTCTGTCCCCCCTCAGGACTTTTGCCACCGAGATTTTGGTAAACCCATTTTTCAAACGTGTAAATGGTGTCATTGCTGGTTTCTAATATGTCATCGGTTCGTCACGTACTTGCATATCGTGGTAATCGTGGTTTTCTGTGTCCTGCAGAACATCCTCGGTTCTATCGGGGAGTCCCTCAGCAGTCTCGTGCACCAGCCTCTTTTGAAGAGAAAGCAGGTTCCCGGCTTTCTCGAGGAGGTGGTGCGTTATCCTAAAGAGTCTTTGGCCAGCTTGGCTCATCTGGTGTTTGTCCATCACCTGGCTGCAGACACCTTCCCCACTGTTTTCAGGTATTTTGAAAACATATTTTTCTCCTGGGATGCACAATGTGGGATTATTCACACTTGGCTTGAAATGAATCTGTACTTGGGTGTTTCAGTAGTTCTACATTAACAAATACTGAAACATTTAAATAATGTTAATGCTCCCAACACTCCGTATTCTCTCTGCAGTCCCGTGTTCAGTCTTCGATGTAACATCGAGCACGTCTCTGTCCTCCTGTCCAGGTAACATGACATAATAATGTGTCGTGTTATAATCTTTGTTAGCGTTTTACAAAAGCTGTAAAATATGAATATGCACATTATACACACATATATAACACACACATATACCATAAGTGTCCACTTTAATGATCAACCTGTAATCAGTGATATCTATCTTTTATAGAACTGAGGAGTCCAAGCTTCAGAAAGGACTGGTAGGTGACATTTTTACTTATTTATTAGTTATTTATTACATAAATTATAATGACCTTAATCATCCAGGAGTCAATACGTGACTCCTGGATTTAATCCTATATATTTCCATGGTGCTATTTTAATTAAACACAACATGTTTAAAAGCTTATGAAAAGTTTTTCTTATGGTTTGATATGTACGGTCATCATCTTGGATGCTCATATTCAACATGGCCAAGTTTTCAAATAATGAGGTTAGCATTTGGAGAGGCTTTAGACTCTAAAACTTGAGGTTCCCCACATTTTTTCTTATAATAGCCAATCAGAAGAAGCCAAAGAAGAAAAAGAATGAGGCTGTAAGGGTCGTTACCTGCCAGTGTAAATGGTCACTGTGTTACTTAAATCTTCTTCTGCACATTAAAAGCAGTCATCAGTGTATGATGGATGTGCATCACACAGGAGCTGTATGAGAAAAGTCTGGTGCGAGTCGAGGACGGCAGTCTGCGTGCCGACCTGCTGGAGATTAAAACCTTCCTCACAGTCCCTCAGGTGAATGCAGTCGCTTCATTATAGACCTGTTGGGTCTACTGTTGTGTTTTGTGTGCGTCATATAATGTTATTAATGTCAGTGTTTAATTTCAGAACTTAATAAAGGTCATGACGATATGTCCAAAGCATGAACTGGTAAGTTTTTAATCAATTTTGATGTGTTTAAAATCTAATGTCAGATCATTTGGTTTGAAATCGGCTTTCATTTGTGTCACCTTCATCTCGTTTTTGGTACCTAGAATGAAACTTATCTTGGGACTCAATTTTGACGATACTTCTTTTTGTCTTCAGAGAACTAAAGGACTGAAGGTTTTCCAGCTGAGCATTGATAAGTTCAACACTGAAGCCAAGTACAGATTCTTCCAGTGAGCTCCACCTTTCTTCCCTGAAAATTAATCAGAAATGTGTCTTTTCCACTTCCCACTGCAAGCGACCTGTGTCCTTGTTTCAGGTACATGTTGAAGACGAGTAACCACTCAGGAGTTGAAGGCTACATCATTAAAAATATCAAGAATCAGATAGACATTGCCCTGCAGGTGAAGATGTACATTAAAGGAAAAAATGGCAGTGTGGGCCATGTTTAAAATTTCTTGGGGGACCTAAAAGAATCTTTATCGCTCTGTCTCCAGCCAGGTAACAGTAACGTCTGGTTTGAAGGCATTCAGCTCATGCCTCTGCTGCGTAAGGTTCTTATTCTTCCAGATGGCCCAGAGACTGACCTCCTGCAGTACCTGGACAGGTCTGTGCACACACACTAATGCGGGTCACAGGAGTGTGACAGCCAGCCCCAACACGCACTGTTAAAAAGGATCATACACAGTTTAAAAGAAAGTATTACATTGTTTAATTTTGTTTCTTCCTGAGAAAATATGAGATGTTTAAATTTAATTGGACACTTCTGTGTAATCAAGAGGAATTTTATAAGTCTTTTTCTCGATAAGATTTTAAAAAACAAACATCCTTTGGTGCTTTTTATATTAAATTGTGCAATAAGTATAAACAAAGTAGTATTGCTGTTGATTTTATAGTTTTTAAAAAAGGCCAGTAAAATATACTCACTGGTCACTTATTAAATGCACTTAAGTTGCTGCCATGTGATTGACTGATTAGATATTTGAATTAATGAGCAGTTGAATCGGTGTGGCTGGTTGAGTGTACGTGTCGCCCTGATCAGAAGTCATTATTTAACAACAAAATCTCGGACTTTATGGACGAGAGTAGTTGAAAGTTTTGGAAATGTCTGGAAGGTAGATTAAGAAATAGCGCATGTGTGTGTTGATCTCTACAGAGTCATGGAGTCTCTAAATCTGCTGCGTTACCTGGTCATCAGAGACAAAGTGACAGAGAACCAGGTGAGTGCACTGTTGAGCTGAAAACACCAAAAATTACATTTTAAAACAAGCTGTTCACCTTCATGATGGCCTATAAGGGTATATAAGCTTTCTCTATCTGTGCTTTCTGATGCTGCTGAAGACCGGCATCTGGACAGAACTGTATAAAGTAGAAGATATGTTCATGAAGCCTCTTCGTGTTGGTGTGAACATGTCCAGGGCCCACTATGAAAGAGAGCTGCAGAACACAATGGAGGCCAAGAAGAGCAAGGCTAAAGGTCAGATCAGCAACACTTACTTTAATTTCCAGTTTTTTAGTACAACATAGACTCTATGCATGCACAGGAGGGGTTCTATTTTGTAGGTAGCTTGGCTTCATTTTTCTCAGGCTTCTTTTGTACTCGTCCCAACTCAAACGACTTCTTAATGGCACTTTTCAACATGTAGCATCATCAAAAGTGTTCAGAGGAGGCTTTCTGACAGCATTTGTTTCTTCACAGAAGAGTCTGTACTTTCTGTGTCTGTTGGTGGTGAGGAGCTGCCCAGCATGACACCAGAGTCACAGATTCAGGTGAGTAACACAGTCAGATATCATACTACGTATTTATGCGTGTGGGGATTAAGAAAGCACTGTGATGTTCCTGACTGCATTTTCATTGGTCCTGCCAGGCTCTGCACTCTGCCCTGCACACGTTTGACATGATTGAGAGCGTGTTGGCACGGATAGAGGAACTCATCGAGGTGAAGGACAACCTGTAACCACACAAGCTCATCTCAAACAGAAGACTGTTACTTGTTTCAAAACAAAGTGCTAGTGCACTGCTGGTCTCTTTGTTTTACAGTGTAATTATAAAATGTTGCATACATTGTCAATTAGAAGTTTAAAAAAAAAAAAAAAAAAGGCAAGTTTGTATCAGCTCTGTAATAAACTTTCAAACTTTTGTACTTGCAGGTTAAATCAAGTGTTTTCATTTTTGGTGAAAGTGTAAAAAAGTTGTGGTTTGGTAAAAATAATTTGTAACCTTTGGAAGCTTCAGTTTCTCCTGCCGTCACAAAAATATCTCAAGTTCATGCAGCCTGTGTTGCCCAGAACACTAGCACAAAGAGATGCTATAGGTTATAAAGGTAAAAACAAAAAAAGACTCAGAAAAGTATCTCACAAAACGATACATAAGTTTACAAAGTGCAAAAGGGTAAACACACTTAAAGTAATAAAATGTATCCCATGTAACAGAATTGTTTAAAATTAAGTCTATAGAATTTAGATTTAAGCAGTGATTCAAAGGAAGTCTGGCTCTGTGTGCTCGATCTTCTCAGGTAGGTCATTCCAGATGTGAGGGGGCCTGAAAAAGCAAAATCACCTACAGATTTAAATTCTTGCCTTTAGCACAGCCTGAAGGGTCCAACCCGAGGCTGTGAGCAGGCACACGTGGGGTCAGAGGTTCTGCTACGTACATCGAGGCCACAGGCGCGTTTTGACAAGAGAGAGAGCAACTTTTCATTAATGCCAGAGAAGAGAGCAGCAATAGTCCAATCTTGAGAAAATACTTCCTTTCATTCATTCAACCATTTTTAAAAAACTTTGCAAAATTTGGTGATATTAGCAATTCATAAGCAAGTTATTTCACTACAACCCATATTTTTACCCCAGGTTACTACAAAAAATAAATAAATGCTGAACTGTTTTCTTGGGTCCAGGTAACAAAAAGTGGAAAATAAATTCCTTCTAAATGAATATAACCATGTAACCTGAATGAGAGACGTCATTTTGTTTTTGCCTTTATTATTAACCTGAACTGGGAAAAACTGACACTTCAGTGTTTTCCATAAATAAACCAAACTCAGACATGCACACACTAATGAAGCAGAATTTCACACATTCACAGGATACAGATATGCACCTTCAAATTAAAAGCCTTTATGGCAGTGATAACTGTAAACAAAATATGGATTATTCCCTCTTTAAAAGGTCAAGAGTTATAGCAATATCTGCAATGTTTCCACCATTTTAAAATGCCCTTCTTCACAGTTCTTTAGACTACATCATAGCTGCTGTGAATATAAGAAATCTTTACTTTGAGGTGCACCGTGTCAACCACGAAGCCGAAGGGGGGAAAACTGCAGCACCTTACAAGGAGTGAACATTCTCTCTCATGCTGACGTGCCTTTTCTGCACCTGAACCACAGCCTAGGACATCATAGTTTTACTGGTTCCTGGTGCTCTCACAGCACAGTCTCACAGGTCTTTGAACAGCGGGTGTTGAAGAGCCTGAGCAGCTGTGATCCTGGTGGAAGGGTTCAGATCCAGCAGCTTATCCAGCAGGTCGTAAGCCTCATCGGGAACTCTGTCCCAGCCACGCTCATCCTCCTCCTCTCCCATCTTTTCCTGTTTTGGAAGGCGAGTTGCGGTGTCATTACCACCTGAATGTTTGTGCTTGTTCGTGTGACTACACAAGAGTTCTGCAGGAGTTTCATCTGCTTCCTTTTTGTGTGGTTTGAGTGTTCTTTCAGTGGGACGGTGTGTGGGCGTATCATCTTGGATCTTGTGATGATGAGTGTCAGTGGAATCTGCAGTAGCCTCAGGAAGTGGTGTGACTTTGTTATCTGGCGATGGCCTCAATCCTCTGAGTGTCTCACACAGGGTCCTGAGGTCCTGTCGAGGGAGCTCCCGACTGCACACCACCGCTTTACCTGAATCAGATTCAAGCCCATAAAAATAAGATCACTCTGTACAGAGGTTTTTTACAACCCTGTTTCTGAAAATGTGACACTAAAATGTAAATGAAAACGGAACACAGTGATTTGTGAATCTTTTTCTTCCCATCTCAGGACCTAATAAAAACAATAATTCTATACTGTGTGAAATATATTTTTAAAAATAGTCGAGCTAAAAAGGTCATCCTAGATTCTCAGTCTTTCTGCGGTATGGAGATTATCCAGAACATCTCTGAAATGTTTTGGAACATCTGCATACGTCTTTTTCAGGGAAGGTCCTGCTGAACCTCTTTTAGGATTCATTTCAGCAGCACGGCTCCAGATGTTAAACTAAGATGTATGCAGGCCAGAGCTGTCACCCCCTGAATGCATTTGGAGCATCATGAAATCAAAAATACAACAAAGGAAGCCATGAATTCTTAAATCCTAAATCACGTGAGAGAAGGAAAGCATTTCACTGCACCCCCTGGTCTGATCAGGTTACAGAGTTTGCTACAAGACCTTTGCAGAAACATGGAGCTGGCATCAAATTTAAAACAACACAAAAAGTTTCATGTGTTGTTCTGCACCATTTTCAGTTCACTATACTTTTTTTTCATATTTATATTTATGCAGTGCATTAACTCTGAAAACTGTGCTGCAGAATATTGTTCCACTGCAGAATTATAGTGACTCTATTGGTGATGAACTGCCTGCAGGATTAATCACTGCAGTCTTGCAGGTGCAGTGAGGATCTGCGTTCTGCAGAAGACCCAAAAGAAGACATTTATACGCACTGAACGACTTGGCAGCCTTGATGGTCTCTCTGGAGCCTCGTAGGGTCATGATCTGAACGAGCGCAATCATGTCATCGGTGGCCTTAAAGAACGGGTAACGGCCACTGAGCAGTGAGAGCAGGATCACACCAGCTGACCACACGTCTATGGCTGCAGTGCAGGATGACAGGACAGGGGAGGGTGCAAGAGTGCAGATTAGTAAGAATAAAAAAGAGAACATCCCAAATTTGCTATTTTTAGGCAATTTTTGGAAAACCTGCCTGGCTCATATGACAGGAAATGTTACCAAGCATGAGAAAACAGATTTTGTTTTTTTAATACTAGAGAGCATCTCTGAGCATGCAGCACCTTAAATCACGTTCAACAAACCACATCAAAGCAGATGGGCTAAAGCAGCAGTGTGGTAGATACATATATTTATTTTCTTTGCTTTTAAACATGTATTATAAATAATGACTTGAGACACCCACCCGTGCCTTGGTTGGGACACTTTGTGAGGACTTCTGGTGCTCTAAACCCTGGAGTTCCTGCCCGGGGCGCCACCTGCGACTTTCTGCAGTCACAAACAAGGACAGGAATGAGGTATTAGAAGTGACACAAAACAGAAACTAACAATTCTTCGTTTAGTGGAAGTGGATTGGAACGAGAATTTAGTTTTAATAATAAATAATTTTTGTTCTTGTACAGCTGACACAAGCACCATTAAATCATATTTCATATAAATGAAAGAAATCATATAAATGTTTCACTGTCTAGAATAATGCCCAAAACATGTGCAAGGTAAACAGGAGGTGCAGGAGGATGTTTTGTTAGTTACCTGGACAAGCAGACGTTGCAGACCCGATCAGTGAAGTAGCAGTTACAGGTTAGACCTCGCTGTACGGGTCTCTGACTGCTGCTCTGGGTCCTGACAGGCAGGGTGGCTGAAGAGTACTTACGGCTGGTTGCGTCCTCTGTTTTACTTGGTTTTACCAGCTAAAGAGTAATGATGATTCAATTTTTAATGTCACCTCCAAAACACTCAAGGTCACCTTATATCACTTAATAATATATAATAAGACCCAGCAGGAAAAGTTGCAGCAGGGAACACAGTGTAGCTCAGTATGGGGTTTGATAGCACCTAATGCTATCAAACTGAATAAGCTTATATAAAAAAGTAATTTTATTTCTGTTAAGCAGTCCTACATGTGAACCTGAGAGACAAGAGTTGCAGAGCTTCGTCACAGCATAAGAGAAGCCTCTAAAAACCCATCTTGTCCATGCTGATGAAAGCTAATGACAGTAAATCTGTTGATGAGCCACAGGGAGTGGGAGGGAATGAAAGTCTGGAGGTCAGCGACATATGCAGCGCAAAGACTACAAAAAGCTTTCAGTGTTAATATTTTAAAGGTAATTAGTTGCAGTACAGGGAGGAAAAATAGCAAGGTTTAGGATTAGGATGGCTGTGTCATGTTCAGTGTGAACTGCATAACTGTAGATGAGCTGAATATGTTTTTTGGTGATGCACACCATGCTGAGCTACGGAAAGCTTTCAGCCAATAGCTCTTTCGGAATCACCCTGGTGGTGCAAATATACCATTTATGTCTCTCATAATGCGCTATTGTCGTTATCGTTTTCTTCCATCACTTCATAGTAAAACAATTTATTTTTGTAACAGGCTACAATTTAAATGTTTTTCTTGGCTAAATTGTCTTTTATGTGTAGACAAAACACTGGCTCATCCCTTTAGTTTAGTCCCTTTTCTATGCTTGGATCAAAGGTCAGTGTTGAGTGGATTAACAAACAAAAAAATGTTCCTCTTAAAATGCTTGGGTCCGGCCAATGTTCAAAGAAAAACTTTTCTTGCAAGAAAATCTAAAGATATGAGCAGCAGCTCAAGACTTTTGCACAGTACTGTAGTTTTCCCCCATTGCTTACCTCTGTCCTAATGGCAGCGTGTTTGGTGTTGGAGAGAGCTGGTGTGCAGCTGTTCAGGTCCCTCTCTCCAAACACAGTCCGTGGTGCTTTGCGTAGCTCTATCAAATCCTAAAGAAAACCAACATGGACGATGACATAAGCAAAACATAAACAATGATGTTATAAACATCCAACCATAACCATACTTCAGTCTTGTGCAACACAGTGAAGTGTAATTAGAGTAAATTTTATCACTGGACAGAAACACCTAATGAAGATAAAAATGATGGTAAATAAAATAAGTGCAGACACCTTTGTGTGCTTTGTGCGAGAGGTGGTCACAGTGGTGGTAGCAGAATGTGCTTTTTTAATCAGTGCTTTTCGAGAGGTTGAAGAAGCTGTGGTGGTGGAGGAAGATGCGGAGGAATTTGTTGGGTGTATTTGCTGCCGTGCAGGCAGTGGAAGAGAGGTGGAGACTGTTGTGGTTTTTGAAGAGAGTTTAGGTGGTGCTTTGCTCCGCTGTGCAGCCACTTGTTTCCCTG